GTGTGTGTGTGTGTGTGTGTGTGTGTGTGTGTGTGTGTGTGTGTGTGACAGGGATCTGAAGCAGCCATTGTTTGAGGGGTTGGTGGGACTCCCTGGTTTTCCCACCCCTACTTTCTTTTTTGGGAGGGGGGGGATTGGCTTACTACAGGTAGTCCTCAACAGTTCATTTAGTGACCAAAGTTACAACTGAAAAAAGGGACTTATGACCATTTCCCACACTTATGACCGCTGCAGCATGGTCACATGATCAAAATTTGGATGCTTGGTAACCGACTCATAGTTATAACGGTCGCAGCATCCCAAGGTCACACGATCCCCTTTTGTGACCTTCTGACCAGCAGAGTCAATGGGGGAAGCTGGATTCAGTGAACAAACCAACATAGCTGCGGGGATTCACTTAACAGTGGCAAGAAGTGTCATAAAAGGGGGCAAAATTCACTTAACCGAGGTTGCATTTGGAAACAGAAATGTTGGCTTCAGATGAAGTCGCAAGTTGAGGGCTACCAGTCTTATTGTAACTTCTCTCCTTCTCTATGTGGTCGTAACTCGAGGACTCCCTGTATTATTCCCAGCTGCTCTGCCTAACGTTTTAAACAAGGGTTTGACTTTCAGCCAGTTCTGCACAAGGTACATTAAGTGTTGCCTTTTATAGCAGCTCATGAGGTCGATTGTGTCCTGCACCAAATTGTCCTGACTTAAAATTCCTAATGCTCCTATTTCAGAACCCTGTTGTTTTTTTTAATCCAAACTTGTACACTTTCTTGGCTTTTGGTACCTGAAAAGGCAACCCCTGAAAAGGAAGCTACAACTACATATAGTCGCTGACTTACAAGTTCATTTAGTGACTGTTCAAAATTACAGTGGCACTGAAAAAAGGGACCTAGGACCATTTTCCACACTTATGACCGTTGTGGCATTCTTGTGGTCACCTGATTAACATTGGGACACTTGGTAACTGACTCGTATTTATGACAGTTGCAAATGTCCCGGGGTCATGTGGCTCCCTTTTGCGACCTTCTGACAAGCAATGGGGAAGCTGGATTCACTTAACCCGTTACTAACTTAACATTTGTAGTGTTTCACTTAACGGTGGTAGGAAAGATCATAAAATGGGGCCAAATTGACTTAACTATTTTACTTAGCAACCAGCTTTGGGCTCACTTCCATGTTTTCCTCTTTCCAAAAAAAACCTCCAAAAAGGTATTTAAACATTTGCTTATTTAGAATCAATGTAATGAGAGCATTTTTACAGCTAAGTGAGAAGCCGCTCTCAAGTTGCAGGTGATAAGAAATCTTAATTCTTGGCAAGCTCAGTGCCTGCACATGTTCTGGCTAGAACAGATTAACCGCTTCAAGGAAAACTGGATGTTTTCTGGCTAATTTGGACTGCTAGGCGTGAGATATGAAGCAAATCAGACCCCACCTTTTCAGGAGAAGATATGAAGAAATAGGCCACTGCAAATTTGAGGCAACGTAATACTCCATAGATTAAAAACTGAATAAATACAAATGAAACATACAGTCTCTTTTGTAACAACCCTTTCAGATTTACCTTTACTTTCGAGAAGATATTAAAAAGCTTCATACTTTTTATATGGTCTTGCCTAATTATCTGAACAAGTAACCAATGTAAAATACTGCTGAGGAAGCAGCAAACCACATCTATTTCCCTTCAAGATTAGCTAAAATAAGGAACTCTAATTTGCTTTTATGTACAAATAGGACAAAAGTGTCCATGGATTGCTGAGAAATTATCTTTGATAATGTATTATACTGTATTAACTGCCCAAATTGTTCTTTGTTGCAAGGTAAGTTTTTTAAAAATGCAAACAGTAAGTATTTGACTGGATTTGTGGCATACTTATAAAGCTGTTAAAATAAAAAGCACAACATTCTGTAGATAAAACTTTACTATTGTATTAGAGCCAAGAAAGCATACTTGATAGTATGTTTAAACATATTTGTAGTGTTGGAAGGGGTGGGTTAACTTCCAATAGTAGAGAGTGAGTGTGTGCATACATATATAGCATTTATGCTACTTCCTCGATAAGTTCTAAAGCAACTTACTTCCTCCATAGATTTTAATTTTACCAGTTGGTAATATTTAAAGATAAATTTCCTAAAGGGGAGACTTAAATTAAGTCTCATGTACAAATCTATTTGTTACATTAGAGTCAGCCCCCATGTCTGCAACTCCACAAAATTTAGGTTGACACTAAATTCTATTTTCCATTCAAGTGTTATCAGGTGTACTATAAATGATGCATATAGGAAAAATTACTTCTCCCATATATAGAATTAGCCTTAGCAATGATTAAGAAAGGAAAATTAAGGTTATAGTGGACAATTCAAGTACTGACTCAGGAGGCAGCAGTAGGAAAAGGCAAGCAACATGATGGAAAGAATGAGGAAAAGAATAAAACTAAAATAGCTATTTATAGTTTACTATATTTATAAGCATAATAATTAGGATATAAACCCTCTCAAGCAAGTCCCTTATGAAGGAGAGAACATGGAAGGGGGGGGGTATCATTCATAGCTTTAAACATTAAATTCTGTTTTCTTCTACAAGTAAATACACATAGGCATAGCAAGAAACAGTTCCTAAAATATTATAAACCAAGAACAAATCTAATCATTCTGATTAGAAGCAAACTAATCTTTAAAAACATTCTAACATTAACAATAGGGTGGGCATAGAATACTAAAGATGTAGTTTCTTTAGGTTAGCTTTATAGCTTTAGTTTTAAAATTAGTTTTTTATAATGCAATCTAAACTGATATAATTTAGTTCATGTTATAATAAACTTGATAATTATGTTGTTTTTTATATAGTTCAACTGAATGGGGTTTAGATTTTTATCCCCTTTAATTTTTATAAATAACTCAAGGCTGAAAACTTCTCCAACATGCCTTTTCCCCACAAAACAACCCAGCAAGGTAGAAGTTGGGTTGAGACAGAAGAACTGGCCCAAAGTCACTTGGCCAGCTTTCACGCCTAAGGCAGGATTAGAATTCACTAACATAGTTTCCTGGTTCCTCGCCTGGGGGGGGACAATGAAAGTGACTCTCAAACTCATTTAAAGCTGCTATATCATGGTTTAGAAAGCCCAACAATGTTAATTTACTCAGTCAAACCATCAGTCACTGTTGCACTTCATTTGCAGCAACCACCAAAGCCTAGAGCTCATTGAGAGCTTCCTCTTTTAAGACATTAAAAGCAATTCCAATATTTAATTGTCCAGGAGTCGAATTTCTGCAACATCAGAGGACAAAGAGGTCACTCGCAAGCTACCAGTAGCCATTATGGCAGGAGAGGAAAATTTAACTTTAAAAAGCGCCTCAAGCCAGTGGAGGAAAATGTGGCTCAAGAAGGAAGTAAATCCCCTCCACTGTCACAGACACAAGAAAAGGCAGGTTCCCACCACGTGCCTGAATCCAATACTTGCTTTAATCAAACCAACATAGATTTTTAAAAAGATACTTTCCTAGGAGGTGGGGGGATGGAAATTAGGTGCAAAATGCATCATTTTGGACACCTCCATACCATTATACCTTGGCAACTTTTAAGAACTGGGGACTCCAACTCCCAGAATTCCTGAGCCAGCACAGCTTTTAAGAGAAGGGTCTTCAAACTGGGCAAGTTTAATACTTGTGGACTTCAACTCCCAGAATTCCTGGGAGGAGGAATTCTGGGAGTTGAATTCCACAAGTCTTAAAAAGCTGTCAAGTTTGAAGACCCGTTTTAAGACCTGGGGACTCCAACTCCCAGAATTCCCCAGCCAGCACAGCTTTTTTTTAAAACTTGGGGACTCCAACTCCCAGAATTATGGGAGTTGGAGTCTCCAGGTCTTAAAAGTTGCCAAGGTTGGACCTTCTTGCCGTATGCTACTGCAAGCCGCCCAGAGACACTTTTGCATAGCATATAAATATAAATTAGGCGCTTATAATACATTTTTAGGTGCTTATTCCATTGGGGGGGGGCTCTCGCCCTGCAAGGAGAGAAGCGGCAACCGGGGCCCCCCCGGGCTCATCCTCCTCCAAAGTGACCGTGCGGCTGGGCTGAACCAGCTCCGAAGCACGTGGCGGCCATCCAAACGCTCCACGCCGCGCGAGCCTTCCTACCCACCCACGTCCACGCGAAGCCTGTCCCCTTTCTGACCAGTCCCGGGGCAGGGGCTGCTTGGAGAGACACCCTCTCTCCGCTTCCCGGCGTCCAAAATGGCTTCGCCAAAAGCACATGGTGAAGGCCGCAGCAGCTGGGGCTTTGCAGCGGCTGTCCTTCCTCCTCTCCCTCCCCCGGGCAAAGCTTCCCACCCGTCCAGGCGGGTCCCGCAGTCAAAAGGGGACCATGCAATGCAAGGCGTGCATGATCGCATTCCTACGTACGTACATGCATGCAAACCCACCCACGCACCCCTCTCAATTCTGCTCCCGCGCGCGCTGTTTCACCTTCCCCGGCCGGTTCTTCCCCGCGAAGGGCAGCTCTTTCAGCGGGGTCCGTGACACCCGCAGGCCCCGCCCTTCCCCGCAGGCCCCGCCCTTGCGTAACCTCACCAGCAAGCGAGAGGCGCGACTTCCACTCCTTTCTGTCTCCCTCCACTGCACGCGGTCCACCCCGCGGCGTGCATCCATATAAGCGGAGGCGCCAGCCAATCAGGACACCGCCTTTCGCTGCTCGCGCCAACCGCCCGTCGCTGATTGGCGGCAGCCTCCGCGCCCCCTTGCCCCAATCCCTTTCTTCGCCCAATTTCTCCTCCCTCCCAGCAGGTTACATGAGGGGGGTGGGGCGGGACTGCTAGGATTGGCAGCCGGTCCGACCTATCCGTCACTCTTGCCGCGGGCAATGGGAATAATAGTACGAGCCCTTTAGCGACCTTTGGGAAGGATTAAATGTATTCCTCGTGTTCAGCAATATAACGTCAGAATAAGAAATGGCCACACGTGGGTCACGGGGCTCCAGCCTGTCAGAGGTGGGAAAGAACCAAATGAGGCGGGAAACGCGGAATAAAAATCACTTCAGGCCCAAGAGGCGCCTTCACGAAAAAGGACACCTTCGTCTCGATTGGCATTGCCGTCAGCCAATAAGGAAGCGGAAGAGGGCGGGAGAAGGCCTTTGACGGTTGGAGAGGGGGCGGAGCAAAGCAAAAAAGGCGGGAAATAAGCCCAGGCGGGATGGAGGCCCTTCAATATGTCGATATACCAATTTCTTAATCCAGAAAAAGATTTTTAATACAAGCAAAAATGAAATGCCTCACCAACTTCAAACACTAAATGTGCATCACAAAGTAACTCGTTAATTACAAGCTGGGAGAGACACATAAACATAGGAATGAGCTGCAATTAAAGATCCAATGATTAAACATTCCTGATTGCAAAAGACCCATTGTGTCTCTAATGGCTGCCTTCTATTTAATCCCAACTGGATTAGGAATTGGAAAATTCTCAGGCAGTTGGAGCCAATGGAAAGTCCAACAGTTTATGCAATTTTAAGATGAGTTGACTTCCATTCCCAGAATTCCCCATTCAGCTGTGCTGGGAGTTGAAGTCAATGCATTTAAGGATAGCCAAACTTGCAAAACACTTTTAAATAACATTTGTGTTTGCAACAAAAGGAAACAGTTATAAACTACTTCAGTTTTCTTTTGCAAGAATTTCCACAGAAGATGGTCACAAGTTGTTCTTAAACCGAATTATTTTCAAATCACCATCTCATATGTTTTCCCCATGTTTTATCCAACCGCAGGAAGTAAAAGTGCAATATGATTTCAAAACAAAATAAAGCAATGCTTCTATGCCTATTGAATGTTACTTTCTGGTTTTAAAACATGGTTTGATTCACTTAACAACTGTGTTACCTAGCCAGCATGCTTTATGAGGGGTGGACTTCAACTCCCAGAATCCCCCAGCCAGC